CTCGGTCTGTGCGTACACTTGGAAACAAGGGGCAGCGTCTGTGACAACATGTGTTTAAAATCATGTCCTTGGTACGTGCGTGTATGCCAGCAATGGAATGAGAGAACAGCACACTCATCCAAAGCAAAATCTGCTCCAGGCTAAAGCACAGAGGGTTATTCTTGAGGCTTCCCCTCTCCAAATGAAAACAGGGGCACTCCTTATTTTCCCCTGTTTATGTAAAAAGCCCACCACACATTCCTGGGCACTGGCCTATCCTGAGCCAACCATGGGATGAGAGCTTCTATGCTGTAAATCCCAGGAAGAAATTGATCTAACTTGGGAACACCCTAACAATTGCTACCTTCTGGTGGTCGCTTAGTGGCCTGCAAAGTGCACCACAAATCTCAAGAGACTTGTTTTCACATCATTAAAGCCACCCTCAGAGCTGGCCTCCATGCTGATGGTTTCAGTGTAAAAACCGAAGGGCCATCCAGAGAGCTGCTGCAGGAGCACAGCAGAGGCACGCAGCCACACCAAGCAGGTCCCTTCGAGCCATACCTGCTCAGAGAACATGAACTCCCAGGCTCTGGCACTTCTCCCCAGCCACACCTCATCTGCTTAAATCTTTATTCCCACAGGGTAAGAAAACACTGTTGCGGCAACCATCAGAGGCACCCTGGTCGACTCATCAAGAAGGGGGGCACCACCATTACACCTGAGGGCTCCTGCAAAGCTATTTTAAAGCTCCTAGAGAAAGAGGATTAGAGAAATGGAAGCCGCAGCACGAGCAAGTTTGCATCAAGGCAGCACCAGGGAAGAAGTCTCTTGTTACCTCTGATGTCTGGTCACCATCAGGCATTGCAATGCAGTCACTTTTCAACTTTTCCAGGAAGGAGCCCTGCAACACCATCTAAGCCTTTAAATGCACAGCAGTGTTTGATTGCAGATGGTACATTTCTCCAACAATGACAAGAGCAAGGAAGATTTCTGTGTCTGATAGGGCAATGGGACATGGTATTTTAGGTATCACATTAAGAATTTCTGAACTAGAAGTCAAGCACTTAGGTATGTATAGCTTCCCCACTTGTATGTCCTGCTCCAGGTAGAGAAGAAAACCACCAACCCTTTATCTCTACAGCAGTAAACTTTCAGTTACCCATACACGTGTGAAAGAATTGCCTGGGAAACAAGCACACAACAATGTTGTGGTCAGAGTTTAAAACAAATCCAACTCAACCAGAAAGCTGCAGGTTGCTTTTGCCCTTTTCACAAGGGAGCTAAATTCAGTGGCACACAGCAGACAGAGCTGCCCAGCAAAGCCGCCTCCTTATTTGTTATTTTTAGCAATTTAGTCTGACAACGCCTGACAACTAAACATGCTGAATATAGCAGGATAGAAGGGGACTATCAGATATTATCAGAGAAAACACACAGTGATAATCACTTTCTCCACCCCTAACGAAGAATCAATTTTCCATGTCTTTATAACATCACAGAGTTTGTTCTTTTTAAAATGCCACATTTAAAAACAGAATCCATCTAGCCCCACAATGGAAACGGATAACATTTCCTGAAACAAAGCATTGTTCCACCCCTCACATATCATGTTTCCTTAAAAACAAGGGAAGAAAAACATTACTTGGTTTTTCTCCTAATACTGCACAAACATTGCTGAGCTAAAAAGAGTCTGTGCTCATCCCTTTAGAATGCTTTCAAAATAGATTTAACACATACCCCTCGTACTATGAAACACAACAAGAATTTGATAGTATCAGGACTGGAAAAATCCAATCGCCACCGCTGAGCAGGACACTTCCGATGCCAGTATGTGAGTGAGCCTATGCCATCACTCCCTGCAAGATTCAAGAAGGTTTTTGTAAGCCTCACTGGCACAGCATTTAAGCAGGCATGTGTATGTTGCCAGCAAGCCCAGGCAGTCTATTTGAATTCCAAAGGATTACACACAAATTGTGAAGTTAAGAATGCTACATACGTACACATACCTATTCATGTTCATACCTTAGCTGTAACAAGAAGGGTAAAGCTACCTTGCTTCTTCTGCAGAGTACCTGACAGGCTGTGCATCTGCCCCCTTGTACACATCCATACCCCTCTGGTGTTTTCAGAACACAGTTCCTCTCACTACGTACGCCCAATATATACTCCAGTCAAGCCTTATTTTCAGAACCCTGTATAATACAAATACAGGTCTGGTTCTCCTTGCTGCTTTGCCATGCAACAAGCAGCAGGGAGGACCAAACCAGCAGTATCACATCAATTTGGTGATGCTGCCTTGAAAAAGGCAATGCACCACTTCAGTAGCAGAGGGACCCAAGAGAGTGGAGTGACGGACAAGGAGTAACTTCAATTGTGCATTGAAGTGGAGACTATCAGAGAGGGGAGAAAAGCTTTCAAACCAGACGCAAAACCCTTCATTGTTTTCAAAGTTCACTCTGACAGCTGTGAATGTCAAGAAACCCAGCTCACATCTCTGAAGCAGCTTAAAGCTCACATTTTCTCAAACAGTCAGCACTCAGGAGGTCTCCTTGCTATACAGCTGGATGGATTTATAGAAGAGCTCAGCAGTGAACTCAGCCCTCTGCGCTGTGCTCCTCTGCAAACAGCACCAAGCTAGCAGTCAAAGCATTTCTCAACTTCAGGCTTGTATCAAAACTACACATTTCACAATACCCTGGCAATAGTGTTGTAATAGCAAGGCATAATTGTCTCAAGATCATGCTACATGAGTAACCAGATCAGCCACACTGTATAGATACTGGAGTATTATTCTGACCAGTTTGGTTCAACTATGAAAGGTGAGAAATGCGAGTAAATAATAAAGTAGTTAAAAATGTATAATATAAACCTAAGTTTTAAAATCCTTCTAGTTTTAATAGTGGATGGAGGGAAGTTTAACCTATCTTGGTTTTATATTTATTTTACAATGATGCAGTAAAAGCACAAGGTCACAAAGTTTCACATTCTTTCCTGCTTCTGTCACAACTTGTTTTCAGGACAGCAAAATCCCCTACTCCTCTGATAACTGCTCTCTGACTTGGACTCAGGTATTTCCCCTGAAATCTGAGTTTCCAGCAGTTGTCAGTCTAAGAGCTTGTCCTTTTCCATGGAGAATTCCAAGCCTAAGGGAAATCATTTTCACAAAACTGCCAGCCAGCTAGAAGCAGAGTAGTTAAAAGATGGACTTGAATATTCACTTAAAACAAGTCTTTATAGTTTTGGCAAGCTGAGCCCTACTATCCCATGGTTAAAAGGAAGAAACAGCCCATGTTGCAACCACCTTTCCATTCCCACCATCTTTTGAGACAGTCACTGTTGCTGGCAACTTCAGTTCAGTGGCCATAACCAGAGACTCAAGCAACAGGGAGCTATGAAGCAGAAAAACACGTCTGTGAAGGAGCCAGCTCTGAAGCTCTGTGTAAGAATGGCAAAGGTGGTAATTTGGGGAGAATTCCATCCATTCTGCTGAACTCAGTGATCAGAAAGTTCAGGGGGCAAGATCATTCCCCACCAGGAAGAGGAAGAAACTGAGATGCACAGCTGAAGGGCACAGTAGTCAAAAAGTTGACCACAGCCCAATGGACCTGGCAGTAAGGGACTCGATGGGCAGTTTGTAAACCACTCTAATCACTTCCAAATCCAGGCATGCTGCTACAAAGTTCTCCAACCCCAATCACAGGGCTGTCTTTGCGCAAAGCCACTGGCATCTGGGATGGCTCCAGAGTAGCCAGGATACAATCACTTTTATCACATAACAATAAAAATGACTGTGCCTTGTCTGCATTACCAGCATCTTAAGTATATAGCCTAGCCATGGAGTGCTTGTTTTCCCTGTGCAGAAAAAGTTCTTGTGGCCAGAAACACAAAACCCCTTAGCATATGGCACAGAAAACACTCCAGACAACACAACATATGGTAGTGTACCTGTCCTACAGCTCCCCAGGCAAGCTGAGTTTTAAGAAGGAATTAAAACAAATACAAACTCTACTTCTGCTAAGTAGGAGACAACAGAGACAGAACTGCCAGGTTAGAGCACCAACTTGTTATTCTTGCTTGTCCCTACTTAGCTGGTCTCCACAGTCACTTCCTCCAAAACACTAACAGATGAAATAAGTAGCTTGACACAATTCAGTCTTTGCTTCCTCTGTCATTCCCCAACACCCAAGGAACAGGGTTTTGTTTATTTATATTTTAGGGGCATTAGGAAAAAAAATACAGTATTGGCCTTGGAAAAGTACATTTTGAGCATCTTCTCTGAAGAACTGTAGCTGTACATGCAGCCAAGATTCACTAGATAACTTGTTTGAACATTGGAACTTGCGCAGACACTGTATTTCCTAGATACTCTTCTCTGCCTTGAATGTTCCAACCAGATAAACATAAGAACACAGTAGTGTTCTAACCACATCGTCAAAACAAAGTCCCATCTCCCCCTAGATCTGGTCTTCAACAGCAGCCACAAGGAGATGCCTAGGGCAGAGTGTAAGGACAGGGCAAGCATATTCAGTACTTCCTCCTCATACTTTCCCAGCCTCCAGGCATTTTTAGCTCGGGGACTTCCTGAGCAGGATGCCATTTCTACATATTTGGTAATTCTCAATAGATTTCTCTTCCATGAATTTGTGCAATTGTCCTGAGCCAGTGTAAACTTTTAATATCCACAGCACTGGCAAAGTTTCACACCACCTATCTGCTGTGAATAGCCACGTAAATAACCTTTTGCCAGTTTTAAACCTTGCTCCTATTAATCTCATTTGAACCCCTCATGACCACTTTTCATATCAGGACACACAACATTCAATCCCTCCTGGGGTTACAAATCTAGCAAAGAAAGAAAGAAACATGAATTACTTGTAGGTTACTTGTAACAGACACTATGTTTCACCTAGATAAAATCCTTCAAAATGAAAAGTACCAGGTAAAAACAGGAAATATAACAAACAGCATCTTGTTGACTGTCAATGTTCTGCTTTTGTCATCATTACCTGCCAAAAACTTACCTCTAATTCCTTAATTTTCTCTTCAGCTATTCTCTGTTTTTCTAAGAGCTGATTATGAATCACTCCTTTAGACTGAAGAATAAACCTACAAGTGAAAAAGAAGAGACAGACAACTGTTGGGGTATATTTTTTAAATGTTGTACACCTAGCTACACATAAACTACAGTGACCTCTGCAAAGTATTCATCCTCCACCTGCAGGTTCTGGACAGAGGCAGAAGAAATTGCTACGACAGCTCACACAAACCACCAGGCTGGCCACAAAGGCTCACTAGTCTCACCCATGATCTGGAAGAAAATGGATGCACAGATCTCCCTCTATCATTCAGTGTCCTTGAATGATCTGAAAGCAGCTCTTCACACAGCTAGCAAGGGGAGTCTGTCATCACATTCCCTTCAAAGAGATCCAAATCAGCTGATGGCATAGTCGAGGAAACCTCTCTCAACTGGTGAAAGCCATTCATTACCATTTTAGTGCTCACAAACTAAACCAACCTGCATAATAAAACCAAAGCTTTCTATAGAGAAAGGCTGACAGTTGGGGTTGTTCTGCCTGGAGAAGTGAAGGCTCCAGAGAGACCTTACTGCAGCCTTTCAATACGTAAAAGGGGCTTATAAGAATGACAGAAAGAGACTTTTTACAACGGGCTCTCATGACAGGACAAGGGGCAATGGTTTTAAACTGCAAGAGGGCAGGGCTACATTGGACATAAGGAAGAAATGGTTTACAGTGAGGGTGGTGAGACACTAACACAGGCTGCCCAGAGAAGTCGTGGCTGCTCCAGCCTTGGAAGTGTTCAAAATCACATTGGATAGGGTTTTGAGCAACCTGGTCTAGTGGAAGGTGCTTCTACCCATGGCAGAGAGGTTGGATAGGATGATGTGTGAGGGTCCCTTCCAACCAAAACCCTTCTGTGATTTGATGATAGAGACAGATGCTTCCACCAGAAACAGAGCCACAGTACACCTACTTTTACTTGAGCTTCTACAGCTACCACTGCCAAGCTCAGAGCTTGGCTTTAACACATGCTCACTCACCTCTGAATTCCCATGCCTTCGACATTCAGAGGCTTTTTCTGTGGGGTGGGAAGTGGTTGTTTTTAACTGAAATTGCAGCCACTAGTTTTCATTTGTCCTAGTTTTTAAGCGCCAAAAGGATTTGAAAGATGAATCCATAACATCTCAATCACAGCAATTCTGCTCACCAGCATGTAAAAAGCTGCCTGACTTGCTCAGAAGAGCCTCTTAAGGAGTACCAGAATCCAAAGCAGCTCTTCAGCACACGACACTGGCATCTCACAAATAGGTAAAGGACAACTAAGTTCAAATGAATTTTAGGAACCTTTCATAGTTGTTTTTCAGCCTTCCAGACATAAAGAATGTACAAGCTGCTGATTCGCCCCTTCCCTACTTAGAAAGTCCCCCAAGGGATTTAAAAGGAGCCTCCACGGGTCATACCAACGAGGTCAAGGTCTCCCTCCAGCACCAACTAGGGTCAATGTCTTCCTGCCAGGTGACAAGAGCTCATGCTTGAACAGTTAAAATGAGCAGCTTTAGACAGGGCAGAATTCCCCGTCTGCTACAGAAAAATCTGAAATCAGTTTGTAGTGCCTTCTCCCATGACAAATAGCATTATTAACGTGTTTGCTCAGGGCCTGGTAAACACAAATGCGGATCTGCTGCTTGGCTTGAAACCCAGCATACTCTGCACCAGCAACACAACAGCCAAAAGGAAAACTACCTGCCACATGCATTCCTGAAACGCATGGGAATAGAACTGCAGTTAATTATAACAAGTTTCCAATTAAAACTCTCTTTGGTGCTGCTATTAACTGCACTTAGCAATCGCCTCCTCCTTCTTCTCCTACTTCTCTCCCTTGATCCGCTTCACCTCCTCTTTTCTACAGTAACTTCCGCTTTATCTCTTACATTCCAATTTTCTCAAATCTCTCCTGGTTTCTTCCCAATCTCAGTTCATGTTTATTACTGGTTTCATCTTTGTTTTATATCTGTTCCTGATCTTTACAACACAGCTCACTCATACCCTCTTTGCCCCCTCACCCCCACCCCCTTCCCTTAGGTGCTCCCACAATCCACTTTCACATAGTGGTAATGTTTTCAGGTCCCAGCACATATGAGCCTGCTGAAATAAAATGCCGGTTTTGCTCAGTCTTGTGAAAATCAATTCCATGACCACCCTTACAGGGAAGAGAAGTTATTTACATTGCTATTAGATGCAGAGCCTGCCAGAGCCAGCCAGATGAGCTACTTTTCAGGACAACCAGCAACCACAGCATTCTGACTATCACCATGAGCCTGCAATGCCAAAAGAAACAAACACTAGTCTTCACACACAGAACCCCTGCAGATTTTGGGGTGAAGACTAAAATTTTGCCTTGCTTCTGCAGTAGCTGCCATTAGTGAAAAAGCTGCAAGATGCCCTCAGTAAACAAAGCCATGAGTCCTTTCCCACATCACAGCTTCCCTTAGCGTGTGTGTGTGTGTGTGTGTGTGTGTGTGTGTATGAACATTTTCTTAATTACTTCCTTTTTCCGTGGAAGCAGCGAAGAAGAACAGGATACCTTCTCATCTGCTCCCCCAAACTGTATAGCAAGATTGGTCATTGTGGTTTCACTGATGCACCTGGACTAAGAAACAAACACCAGCACAGGTTGATCAATTTTCTCCCATGCTGCAGCTGGGAAGGTCCCAGGCGCTGAGCAGTTCTGGCTGGCTGAGAACCACTACGGGTACTAAAACCTTTGAACAAACAAGTGGCTGACTTCACTTCTATTCTGCAAATGTCACCAGCAGTCATCCAGGAAAATATCCTCCCTTCCACCCTCCTGCAATGCTCTGGCAGACATGTGACAGCAAATTAAAACTGGATGGCTGAAGTTAGCGCTGACGAGACTTATGTGGGCAGCTGGGCACAAATACAACCACCCCAATTTTATTTGCCATAAAATAGTGGGCTGGAACCTGTGTCCATTCACATACTGGCTCAGAGAAAAATCAAATGTCCCTGACTTGGCCAGCAGCATCCTTCAGAAGGGTCTTCAACAGCACCAGCTTCAAGCCACCCATTTTAATTCCCTGTTACAAGACCATCAAGCCCTCAGCCTAAAGCACACAGGTGCTGCTACATAATCTGCTAACAGCCAAGTTTTTTTAAGTTGAAGCTATAAATCCAAATCCACATTTAACTTTTTTAATCTGTGGCTTCACTTTCCAACACAAGAAGGGCTCAAAAAAAACCTCAGTGTTTTACCTTCTAGCTTGGGATGCACACATTATGGAGAGCTTGGCCAAAGTTTTTACCTAAGGAAATAATGTGGTTTATGGCAGCACTTGGGAAATGCAGAACCTTGTTCTGCTCATTAGGTAAGAGGTGCTGCAGGGCAGTTGCAATAAACTGGAGTTTAAATTTAATCTGGATTTCATTCTTTCAATTGCCCTAAGTAAAACACCAACTTGGTATTTTTCCTTTTCACCAAGCTAGAGAAATAGGGCAGTGTCATTCTGCAGCCTGATTTTACTTAAATGTGGGTATTTTGTTTATTAATTTTTAAGCTCATGAAAGAACCATGGGAGGTTCTGAGGACTCAGTGGTTCCCTGAGTGAGTTTGTGAACAAGCCTTTCAAACACATGAACTTCATCCACTGCCTGGAGGGACACCACCAGCTGAGAACTGGTCCCACAATACAGTCACCACATCCAGACCCGATGAGACACTTTCTGCTCTGCAATGCTGAGCTTGGCAGATGACATGACTAACACCAGCTCCCTGACATGGGTCAGCACCGAAGAGCTACCTCCACAGACCACTCTGCCAGAGCCACTTCAGGAGGCTCCAAGAACCTGTGCACTGAACAGGGATGGCTTTTAAGTATTGATAGTCCACAGAAAACAAGCAGAAAACCTCTTCCAGATAAGTGAGTTCACTCGTGTCCACCTTCTCTCAGTGAAGTGTCACAGCACACACTAATACATCTGTAAAACACAACACCTACACTATCAAACATGAAACAATGATTCAGAAAAGTGTTCGGCACTACAGTGGCAATTACAAAGCTTAGTAACAACCACCTCCTCACACAGGGACTTTTTTTGCTGTTGTTAAACAACACCAGAAATGTCTGGATCAGAATGGACAAGATCAACAAATGTCAGCTGGCCACCCATTTCAAAGAGAATAGCTAGGATTCCCTAGAACAGAGCAGGATTTGCCCTATTCCAGATACTTCACAATTTTTCCAGTGTCCCTAAAGGTAGAAACTCAAAACAAAACACAGAAAAGTAGAAAACAAAGCTACAGAGGAGTGGGGGCCTCAAGGACAGCAATGTTCAGCCAAACCTGGGCTGCCAACAAGAGCAGCTCTATAACAGTGAAGTGTTTGCAAATCATCTGTACCTAGGCGCTCTGGTCTCCTGGTGACTGCTGGTTCGCAAGTGCAATACAGGGAACAAAAATAGAGTACAAGGGAACTGAAAGAGAAACTACACTCTAAATATTCCTACTTGTTTCTATTTTCCTTCCTCTGCTAGTTCCACATTGGGATTTTTGTTTCCCTAAAGCAGAGAAAGTTGTTTTTTATTATACTCTGAGACTCATTGCTTGTTTCCTCCTGGAGGGATCTCTTAGCCCCTTCCCAATTATAAAATTTCTGGATACGGTGCCCATTTGTTCATTGTTTATACAGCACTCTCTAATGTCTTGGTCAAAATGGTCTTCAGGCTCTAGTCAGGCTGGTCAGCAATGCTGCCAACTTCATCATCTGACTGCTCCTTTGTGTCACACGTACACACCCAGAAAGTGATGTTTGTACAGCATAAGTAATTCCATAAGTCACTCTGTTTGCACCAAAATGTACTGTTTTCTTCACTTTAAGACATAATATTAGATACTGAAAGATTTGTCTTAACGAGTGAGGTTATGGAGATGTTTGTTCAGCACACGCCACTCTTCATTATGACATACAAGTCATTAAAGTTATTAAAGGTGGAGTACCAGTGATGCTCATAGTGAAGGTTTTCCATTAAGAACCCCTACTTTCAATTACTTGCAACTGCAACCAACTTCAA